GATGCATTTTTCCACATTTCCATCATACCGAGTCACCGACATTACCTGAGATTCACGCTAGGCCAAGACCACTGCCAGTGCAGAGTACTCCCCTTTAGCCCTCAGGGTATTTTTCAAGGTTCTCTCAGTAGTCGCAGCCCACTTACGCTTTCAGAGCATCATAATTTATCCTTACCCAGACAACTGCCTTCTCAGGGCACGTTCTTTCACCAAAGCCCAGTGAGTCACCCAGACTACACTGAATCTGTTCCAGAATCTGGGCCTACAAATCAATGCACAAAAATCCACATCAACACCGGTGCAAAGACTAGAATTCAGAGGCACTCCTCCCATGTCAGAGATTCCTCAGTCTCTCCACACTGGTAGAGACAATACAATCCAGCCCCCAGATTTTGGCCAGACACCACCTCCAGCTTCTAGGGCATATGGCTGCGGGCACATCGGTCCTAGCTCGTGCCAGACTACGCATGAGATGCCTCCAAGCCTAATTCAATTCATTTTACAGGCCAGAGACAGCATACACAAATTATTATTGATGCCCACCAAGATTAAGGAATCCTTAGGTTGGTGGAAAGACCCAGTGAACGTATGTACCGCAGTTCCATTTGTTCGGCCTCCCCATTGTTACTCCTGACCGCTGATGCATCCTTCATAGGATGGGGCGCACATCTCAGCGGTCTCACGGTGCAGGGCAAATGGTCTTCATCCGAGATGCACCTTCACATCAACCTGCTTAAACTCAGAGTGGTCAGAAACACGTGTGCTCATTTCCTCCCGCTGATCAAAGACACGCACACAAAAGTTGTGATGGACAATGTGGCCTGCATGTATTACATAAACCCTCAGGGAGGAGCCAGATCACACTGCCTGTGCATGGAAGCACTGAAGCTATGGAACTGGTGCATTTCCAACAAGGTCTTAATATCAGCGGCCACCCTGCAGAAATATTGAACATGATGGTGGACAACCTCAGTTGCAAATTCCCACTCAACCATAAGTGAGAAGTAGATTTGATGGTCCTACACGACATATTCCAGCAGTGGCAGACACCGAAAGTAGATCTGTTCGCTACTTATCAGAACAATAAATGCCATCAATACTGCTCCATATGGGGGATCAGACAACACTCCATGGGGGACAGTCTCCTCCACCCATTCGACAAGGGTCTTCTTTATGCCTTTTCCCCCATTCCCTCTAATTCTGAAAGTCTTGTTGAAAGTGAAAAGAGAGAAAGCAAGCATCATACTGATTGCTCCCACCTGGCCCAGGCAGATGTTGTACCCTTACCTGTCACAGCTGGCACTATGTCCACTGATGACTCTTCCAATCACTCCATACCTGCTATGGAGGGTCACACCCTCCATCCCAACCTACGGATTCTGCGACTCAAAGCCTGGCTCCTTCTTGGTTCCAGCACATAGAGACATTTTTCTCTGAGGAGGTACAGGAGGTGCCATTACACAGTAAGAAAAGAACTACTCATCACACCTACTTGCAAAAATGGAAAAGATTTCAAATCTGATGTCAGCCCAAAGGCATCCTCCCAAATGCAGCCACCCTACTGGTAGTCTTGGACTACCTGTTGACTCTCAAGAAATTGGGTGTCTCTGTCAGCTCACTAAAGGTTCGCCTAACAGCAATTGCAATCTTCTACCAACAGATAGAAGGATACTCTTCTCTTTTCTCATCCAACCATGAAAAGATTTCTCAAAGGCATAGCAAACGTCTTTCCCCAACCTAGACTTCCCACTACTCAGTGAGATCTCAACCTGGTGTTAAAAGGACTGACTAGACGGCCGTTTGAACCCAGGGCCACTTGTTCGTTAACTCACCTTTCAATGAAGATGGCATTCCTGATCGCCTTTACCTACGCAAGAAGGATAGGGGAGATAGTGGCTCTGATGGCGCATCCCCCGCTTTTCTGTGTCCTTCCCTGACTAAGTCACACTTCGACCACATCCGAAGTTCACTCCCAAGGTGACTTTCACTTTTCATATAAACCAGCTTATTCAACTTCCTACCTTTTATCCTAAACTTCATCAGGATAATAGGGAAGCCATATGCTCAACGTGAGGAGAGTCTTGGCCTTCTATTTGGACAAAACAAGAGCTTTCAGCTCAAAGACTCTCCAGATGGGTCTCAAACTGTGTCAAGCTCTGTTACCAGATGCATAATGTAGCACACGCATCTTCAATACTCATGCAGTCTACAAGATCGGTCTCCTCTTCCATTGCCTTCTCCAAAAGTATCCCTAAATCAGAAATCTGCAGAGCAGCTACATGGGCATCTGCACATACCTTTGGAGAACATTATGCCATCCTCAGGGAAGGACTCGGCTGCAGAGCCAGATTTGGTGCCACGGAGCTATCCTCTATAATAGATTTGACTCCAAAGTCCCAGCCTCCTAGTGGTGGGCACTGCTCAGGAGTTACCTACAGTGGCGCACCCATAGGGACACTACTCAAAGAAGAAGAAAAAGGATTGACTTACCTTGTGCAGTAATGATGATTCTTCAAGATGTGTCCCTCTGTCGGTGCTTCACGACCCACTCTCCTCCCCTCTACTTCGGAGTTCTAGTAGTTGACTCTGCAGTAGAGAGAGAACTAAGGAGGGATTGTCCACACACACTGGCTAGCCTTGTGGCAGGTGGGGAACAGCGCATGCATGGGTGGGATGGTCTGCTATCAAAATTCTCTGATCAGCAGCGCAAGGTCACAGACACACCTACAGTGATGCACCCATAGGGGGACACACCTCAAAGAACCATATTTACTATACAAGGTGAGTAATATCTTCTTGTTTTCACTTGAACCTAAGGCCAAAATTTAGGATGGATTAACTTACGAAGTTCGGATCTATGTTTAGTCAAGGAAAAGTCTTACGTTTCTGTAATACCTGCCACGTGACAGCTATCTGGATTTATATAAAAGCACTGAAATTTGTGCATAATTTCTAGGAAATACTAATTTGCAAATAGATTGTTGTTATAAAAATACTCCTTCAATAACTGACCATATGGATCCTCACTCTTTAGCCTAAACTCACAATCTTTTAGTGGTCTTCAGTGGTCTCAGTTGCCCTTCATTTACTTTTGACCATGAAAGTTGCAGTGAGTTTGGAGCTCATTCAGTGTCCTCAATACTTCTCCCATCAGTTACTGTTTTTTCATTTTTCTGCCCCTTTTGTGTGTATTCTTGTGTGTGTAGTTAAAGTCAGCTTTTTTATTTTAATTGATGTTGATGCCAGTGCAGGCACCCTGTAGGTCCCACTCCTCATGAGCAGCTTTGTTTTTCCTGAACATCAGTCCTAAGATGCAGTTTTTCTTAGTGTCTTTTGGCCCAATAGACAGCATAACTGGGGCAACTGAGAGCTCCGGCGTTATGAACTATGCTTCACGCAATGCTGTTATACCCATTGCAGCCTCCCATTTTTGGGTGCCTCTGGGAGAAGGTCAGAATTAGTGTGAGTTCACTCTTAGAAGAACAGCTATTTCAAACCCCTACTAGTAAGGGAGGCTTCTTCTGGCCCTGCGTCTAGTACCATTAGCATTGAGAGACACTGTGGCTCCGATTAATCACTTGACAGGGTGGTTTTATGACCAACATGATGAGCAGCATCGAGGCCATTCGTCTCATCTGATCAACTGAGTTGGATACCAATCATCCAGCATTATCAATGTTGAGGGGTGTCTTGATTTCAAAGACCTAATCACCATAAGTGACTTTAGGTCCAGCAAAAGTGGCATTGAAGTTCCCAATGTCACCTGAGCCAATGAGGAGCATTCAGTTATATGTCATGAGCACCTCTGAGCTGAGCCTTCGGGTGGTCTTGGGACTCTGTCTCTTGGCTTCCCTTGCCTCTGGGCTGGAGAAAGATGGAGAAACGGCATTGTAGTCTCCTTGCTCCCACTCAACCTCAGTGAAGGTGAGGAAGTATAGTACTGTCACAGGGTGGCTGGCTGGCTCCTGTGACTGAAGTAGGTCCAGCTCCCATGCCATAGTAGATGCTCCCAGTTAAAGGGGTGGGGTCCAAGTTGTAAAAGGTGAGCTGAGGAACAGTTTTGTTTACTTTGCTTAAAGTTTGGGCAATAAATCTGCCTAAAGGAGACTGTGAGTGCGGCAGCTTGTCTTTAGCAAGCTGGAGAGAAGCCCTGCCTCATCACTAGGGCCCTACCAAATTCATGGCCATGAAAAATGCATCACGGACCGTGAAATCTGGTCTTCGTACTATACAGATTTCACAGGCGAGACCAGCATTTCTCAAATGGACCATGAATTTGGTAGGGCCCTACTTATCACACACTATCAGTCTCCCAGAAAATGTTCAATACTGAGAGAAACTGGCACAGGGGATGCTTTATTGTCTGTCCATTCAGTGTCTACCTCCTCAGAGCTATATGACACTGGGAAGGTGTCATTGTAGCAGTCTTGCCTCCACTGATAATGAAACTGGTTCAGTCTTCTTCATTTGACCCTAGCTGGGAGCTTTTCCTGTTATTCTGCTTTAAATTTTAGTGCCTAAGTCACCTCAGTGGGAGCTGTGGCTGCTTAACTTCTTTGAAAATCAGGCCATATATTTTATGGCTGTGAAATATGATTAAATGAGGGGCGGAAGGACTCTATCTAAGGGTTATGGAGATTGTATGGTAATCACACGACTGACGAGCCTGGAAATGACTGTTTAGACTTAGATTGTTGTGGTCTTTTTAGATATTTGAAACAGAGGTGAGAGCAAGAGAGAGTTTTCATTTAAATTTTCCTATTAGTACAAAAAATCATAAAACTAATATAATCAGAACTGTCTATTAATATAATATTTTTCATACTTTCCAGGTCAAATCAGTGGGTCTTTAAGGCATTAATCTCCCAGGCTTATATGTCCTAAACTCTCACTAGATATTAATTCTTCAGAAATCTGCTTTGCACTAGTGTCTTGTAAATTATCCCTTTCCTGTTCAGCCTCTATGGATTTCTCACTAATCAACATGTTCTTTTTGATAGGATCTTTTGCAGCTACAGTATGAAGGTGTTGCTGTCATGAAGTTGTTTGACAGAGCAAAAGTCAATGTCAACCTCCTGATCTTCCTTCTGAACAAGAAGTTCTATGGGAAATAATTGGCATCTCCCAGAGGAGCTATGAAAAGGGGGATGAATGGAAAAACTGCATCTCTGTTTCTTAATATCTTCTTTCACCTGTCAGAACCAAGGACACCTATATATTGATGTACCTCCCTCTGCCCAAACTACAAGTATAAAGAAGGACTAGACTGTCAGTGAATTAATAATCCTGACTGAGTCCACAGGGACTCTATCTGTCTTACTGCTATGATCTTTTTTTCTGACTTTTCAGATTCCTTGAGAAGCATTTAGTTTAGAATGTTTTCCATGTACTATTACAGTGGCATTGGGGATTAAACAGTTGTTAGAATATATTTTGGGCTTCTGGGTGTGTTCTTTGCCTAAATGTTTGGATGGTGGGGCTTGAATTCTTGTTACTTGTTGTAGAAGAAGAAAGCTAACACAGCAGAGCAACCAGGTCTGCCTCTGTATCTAGAAGCAGAACAGGATTTCAGCTCATATTTAGACTCCCTCCCTGAAATTCTAAGAAAACACAACAGGACATCAACTTAGAGAAATATTTGCTCTGTGCTGTAGCATGGAGAAACTGGAAAAATTTTAACTAGCTGATTCTGTCCATAGCAGTGTCCATTACCGAAGGTTCACTACCAGGATGACTGAACTCTGTTTATAGATTTGATTTGTAAAGACCTATACTTGAGTTATATTTTAGCATATTATTCAATATACGTATGTAGCTCTGCCTTCAGGCAATGGGGAGAAGAAAAGATTTTGTCACAGAACTGAGTCAAATTAAAAGTGGTCAATGGCCAGGTTGGTCAGGTGGTTTCAGTGCCAGCTTTTGGTGGTGGCGGTGGTGACTATTAACTGTATCGGACTAGTGCAACAGAGTCCTAGATGGCTTTCAATGATCTAAGTGTTGCTGAATTATTACTACACATACATTATTGTAGCCATGTATAACATCTTTAGTGATCTAATTCTTTTTTCAATATTTGTTTCTCATTAAGACGCCTTACTAATATACAGATTGTCCCAGTAGTAGAGGAAATGAGGAATGTGTGTGCTAATGCCTAAAGATGAAAAGTGACCTTTTATTGGGGATGGAGGAGAGAGATTTTTGAATCAGTTGAGAAAAGTTTATTTTACAGTTTTGCTTCAGAAGCTTTTAGAACATTACAGAAAAAGTTTCTAAGTTAGCTTAGTGCTCCACATATCTCTACCTGATGCCATTAAACACTATGATCTACCTGCAGACTTGCCAAAGGGAATTTACTCTGCCTTAAATAGTCTGAGCTGTTAAATTATTTACATTTTACCAAATGTACATGAGCAAATGACTCCCCATTTCCTTTACTACTTAGATATTCACTCATTATTACGGTGGTGCCTGTTATATTGCTATATCTAACCAAAATGCAAAAGGACTGTTATGAACTCTGATCTTCATTAACTTACTTTTAGCCTGAAACAAACTTTTGTTGCCCAAGTTATCTGCTCCAGATAAAAATGTCATTTTTTTTTTAATAATTTTAAAATCTGTTTGACTGTTTTATGTTCCCAGAGTATAGGTTAAAATAAAGTCTCTCTATTCTTAGACACACACACGTACGCCGTACGTTTATTTCAAATAATTTTGTTTTATAATTTAATCACAGAGTCAGCCATTTTAGTGTTTTTTAAATGAAACCAGTTACTAACTCTCTGCCTGCCTTGGGAGTCAGTTGTTTCCCATAGTCTTTTTAAGAGGCTAATCCTGTATGGCTCTACCTTGTGACAATCCCTGCCACGCAAACAGTAACAAACTGATTTTATCTTGGTCCATGCAGTATTAGCATAATTAAAAGAATAGATGACACAACTTTCCTTTTGGATGTAAAACTGACCACATCCAGGAAGTTCCAAATAGGGGAAATTCTGCCCTCAGAGAGGAGAACCTCAAAATAGGAATTCTACCCCCCATCCCGAAATAGCATCAGGACAGGGACAGGATAAAAGTCTTGACTTGCATCTACCTGTCTCTTTTCAATGTGAGTCCCCACTGCTGTTTAACTGAAGGGTTTTAAATTTAACTATCCTTTTTTAGTTAGGGATAGTGACAATAGGACATTCTCAAATTATTCATCAGGGGAATAAAACAGCACCCTGACAGCTGTTCAACAAAAGGGATTAAATTTTCTCCATTTAAAAAGGGCTACTTTCCCAGATGTCTGCATGGCTGCCTCTTCACCATAACCTAAGAATAGCTAATGAGACATGTTAGGCTATTCTAATAAAATATCATAATACCTATGAGGAGAAGATATTTGGATTATTTATAAGAACAGCCAATACCTATTTGAAAACAGTTTTGGTGCAAATTGACAAGACAACTAGGTAGTAAAAGAGTGAAACAGTTTTATGGGAACAGGTGTGCTAATTCTAGTTAAATAACAGTGTGTAACTTTGGTAGGAGTTTTTAAAAGAATGGAGACACTCTGGCAGAAAGATCCAGTTTCAGCACTGAAATTTTGTAATTTGTTACTTTATTTATTGGTGTCCTAGCTTTCCCTTTTCTCTTCCCTCTCCCCTCCCCACAATCATTGTATTTATCTTGGGCTTAAATTCCTTTCAAATAACTAGATGGCTTAGCCTATTGTTTGCACATAAAATGTCTTTGTATTTCTCATCTAAATAAAAGATAATTTGTTCACGTCTGAGTGTGTTTGAATCTGTTTGGGGCCGGCTTTAATTTGTGTGTCAGTTTGTTAAACACAGCACTTTGCTCTTTAGTGAAAATTTCTAATCACAGGACCACAACAGCATATACATACACAGACATCTTCTGCATTTCTCAGATGTCAATCACTTATGGACAAGACTATCATCTCGCCCCATTATAATGTGTCTGAATCAAGTTGAGAGGCATGTGCAGGGCTGTTTCCTAGTTACACTGCATTTCATGCACTCCAATTTAAAAAGTGCTATCAAACTCAGTTTCCATCATTTCCATAGGAAAGGCAGAACCACAGTCTTTAGGTTCCTAGGGAATCCATGGCTTCAGAGCTGGTTTGGAAACAGCAATTCTGGAACTTCTCAACCCAGCACTCTTCTCAGTCTGCCCTCCAGGCTCAGTCACAGAACCCCTGTGTGCCTGGCTGAACTCCAAATAACCAGCATATTTAAACATCACTGATTGGACAATCCCCAGTGCAAATGCTAACCCTAGCCAATTCCCCAAGTGTTAAGAGAGCATTTCCAGGGTACATGTTAAGATTAGCCTACCTAAGTGGGGATGCAGGCATCTTATAAAGTGGATGTGCTGTGCCCTTTGAGGTTACAGGAAGTATCTAATGCAAAGGGCTTTAAGATGTTTCAATCAACTTGTATTTTACTGTTATAGCACTAAATGACAGAATTTTGATTTGCAGTTATTGTAAGAAAAGAGCCCGAGACATAAGACATATCAGAGGCCTGGTATGAGGCCTGGGCTAAAGTAGTTGTCAAAGCTTTACTGATATAAAGCAAAGACAAGCTGTGAGCAAGAGGCAGGACCTGCTCACAGAATCTGGCAAGTACAGGGCTGATATTGTAGCAACACGCATTCCTAAAGAAGTGCTTGGCACAGAGTATTCATGTAAACACAGCCTGACATCAAGGATGGTACAAAAACATCCCCCAAGGATAACAGAAACATACTGACCCCTCCTAAAAGATAAGGTCAGGATGACACTATGTAATAGAGATGTTTTGAGCGAACCAACATGTACAAGGTGATGGGTGATAACTAGCCATGTCAGGGGGCAGTACATAACTGGTTTGTATTGGGGTATAAAGATGTATCTCAGAGGGAGTGTCTTTATCTAGCCTAAGGAAAAACCGAAAGTCCTGCTGTTCACTGAGCTGGTCCATTGTTACGGGTAAACATGTATTAGTGGTCCAGTAGAGTCCGCAGGATACTAGTACCGTGTTTCATTGACAATAAACCTGGCCTGGTGTGTACATTGACAGATCTTGTGGTCATTGGGTGGTTCTGCTGTGCCGTCTGCACAGAGCTGCAGGAGAACACACACATGCAGCAGAACATCTAACCACACTGGTGACCCATGCCCACTGATCTGGTAAGTGAGCAAGCTGTCATAGGAGTCACAACCTAATATGACAGAAAAACCACAAGCTAGGGAACTCGCTTATCCCCTCCCTGCAAATCCCCACAGAATTGCATGAAATTTGGATAAGGTGTATTGCCAGCAAGGGGGAACCCATATAAAGTTAAAAAAGAAAGTGGGGCACACCGGGTGAAAAAGAGAAGGGGAGACCAGAATTGCAAATTCAGCACAGCACCTCCCCAATACCTTGATAAACCCTTGATGCCACTTCACAAATAACTCAAAATGGATTGAAATTATTAAATGAGATCAAACATACAACTCAAAAATTAGAAAAAAAATTGAAAGGGCCATGGCCCCATATTGAACGTGAAAAAAAGGAAAATATTGTGCCTCAGTACAGTCACTACACACTTCACCCACCTTGAGCTAGTGGTATAACAGCCAGACTCAATGCCTTAAAAAAAAAATTAACTAACTGCCCTTGTAGGAGGGGTTAGGGGTATGGGTTAAGTTTACGGTTTAGGGTTAAGGTAGGTGGGTTAGGGTTGGGGTTGGTTTAGGGTTTAGAGTTGGGTTAGGGTTTAGGGTCAGGGTCAGGATCGGGGGGTTTAGGGGTCAGGGTTTAGGGTCAGGGGTAGGGGTTAGGGATTTCGGTTAGGGTTAAGGGTTTGGGTTAGGGTTTAGGGGTGAGGGTAGGGGTAGGGATAGGTCAGGGTTAGGGTTAGGTAGAGTTGGGGTTGGGGTTTAGGGTCAGGGTTAAGGGTGAGGGTAGGGGTTAGGGGTCGGGGTAGGGTTAAGGGTTAGGGTTAGGGTCAGGGTCAGGTTAGAGTTAGGGTTAGGGTTTGGGTTAGGGTTAGGTTTTAGGGGTTAGGGTTTAGGGTGAGGGGTTAGGGGTTTAGGGTGAGGGGTTTAGGGTGAGGGGTTAGGGTCAGGGTCAAGGGTCTAGGGTTTAGGGGTTAGGGTTAGGAGTTAGGGTTTAGGGTTGGGGTAGAGGTTAGAGGTTAGGGTTAGGGGTTAAGGGGTTAGGGTTTAGGGTTAGGGTTTAGGGTCCAGGGTTAGGGTTTAGGGTGAGGGTTTAGGGGTTAGGGTTTAGGGTTAGGGTAGGGGTTAGGGGTTAGGGGTTGGGTTAGGGTTTAGGGGTTAGGGGTTAGGGTTAAGGGGTTAGGGTTTAGGGTTAGGGGTATGGTTGGGGTGGGGGTGAGGGTGAGGGTGAGGGTTTAGGGTGAGGGTTTAGGTTAGGGGTTAGGGGTTAGGGTTTAGGTTAGGGTTAGGGTTAGGGTTTAGGGTTAGGGCTAGGGTCTAGGGTCTAGGGTTTAAGGGTTAGGGTTTAGGGTTTAGGGTCCAGGGTTAGGGTTTAGGGTTAGGGGTGAGGGGTGAGGGGTTAGGGTTAGGGGTTAGGGTTAAGGGTTAGGGTGAGGGTTAGGGTTTAGGGTTTAGGGTTAGGGTTAGGGTTGGTTAGGGTTAGGGATTAGGGTTAGGGGTTGGGGTTAGGGTTAGGGGTTAGGGTTAAGGGTTAGGGTTAAGGGTTAGGGTTTATTACCTTTTGAGTTTTTGGCTAGCTGTTCTTCAAACTCCTTTTTGGCTTTTCTTATTACATTTTTACACTTAATTTGGCAGTGTTTATGCTCCTTTCTATTTACCTCACTAGGATTTGACTTCCACTTTTTAAAAGATGCCTTTTTATCTCTCACTGTGTCTTTTACATGGTTGTTAAGCCACAGTGGCTCTTTTTTAATTCTTTTACTGTGTGTTTTTTAATTTGTGATATACATTTAAGTTGGGCCTCTATTATGGTGTCTTTGAAAAGTGTTCATGCAGCTTGCATGCAGCTGGTATTACATTGCTGACTCTCATTTAGTTTGTGGTCCTTTTCAGCGGTACTCCTTCCCAGGCAGTCATTTCCCATTTTGTATTTGTGCAATTGATTATTCCTTCCAAAGCGGAGTACTTTGCATTTGTCCTTATTGAATTTTATCCAATTTATTTCAGATCATTTCTCCAGTTTCTCAAGATCATTTTGAATTCTAATCCTGTCCTCCAAAGCACTTGCTACCAGGCACAGCTTGGTATCATCTGCAAACTTTATAAGTATACTATCTGTGCCATTATCCAAATCATTTATGAAGATATTGAATAGAACCAGATCCAGGACAGACAGGACCCCACTTGAAATGCCTTCCAGCTTAATTGTGAACCACTGATAACTACTCTGAGTATGGTTTTCCAGCCAGTTGTGAACCCACCTTATAGTAGCTTTGTCTAGGCTGTATTTCTCTTGTTTGTTTATGAGAAGGTCATGTGAGACAGTATCAAAGGCCTTATTAAAGACAAGATATAGCACATCTACTGCTTCCCCCATCCACAAGGTTTGTTACCCTGTCAAAGAACAATATTTGGTTGATTTGACATGATTTGTTCTTGACAAATCCATGCTGACTGTTACCTATTATCTTATTTTTTTTCTTCTTACAAGTTGATTATTTGTTCCATTATCTTTCCAGGTATCGCAGTTAAACTGACTTGTCTAGAATTCCCTGGGTTATCCTTATTCCTCTTTTGATAGATAGGTAACATATTTGCCCTCTCCCTGCTTTCATAAGATCTTAGATTTCTTCAGCCTGTTCCTTAAGTATTCTAGGATGTACTTCATCAAGCCTTGCTGACTTGAAGACATCTAACTTGTTCTTTTCCTATTTTAGCCTCAGATCCTATCCTATTTACACTGATGTTCACTATGTTAGTGTCACCAGGGCTCAGCGGGTCACAGCTGAGGATACCAGGTTCAGGATAAACTGATGAGAAATAGGGTAGACTCACCCCAAACTGGTGGTTATTCTTCCATAAGATTTACCAAGCTAGTAACAAAAGTAAACGTCTGTCTTGCCACACTGCTTAAGAAGTCCAAACTGCAGTCTCCTTGGGCATCCCAGCCCTTGTTTTACCACCCAGACACTAGTCTTAATGAGAGGTTATTTAAAACCAATTTCATCAAACAAAGGGTTCTTCTAATCCCAAGATATCAGCCGCATAGCCAGGTCAATATACAACTCAGATCTTACCCAATAATCATGCTATTACCAATCCTTTAGTATCTAATATCTAAAGGTTTATTTATAAGAGAAAAGAATACGGAGAGAGTTGAATGGTTAAGGAAATCTAATGCATACAATCCTTGCAGAGTTCTTGTATGGGGTTTGAAGCAGTGATGTTACAGTCTGCTGGCTTGTAAAGCCTCTGATAACTTACAAAAGATTGGAAGGTCCTCAGTCCATTGACTGGAATGCTCCTTTTTAGAATAAGTCCATATTCCAGATAACAGAGCAGGAAAGAGGCAAAATGGAGATGATTCCAGGGTCTTTAATCCCTGGCTTCACCCATGGGGAGAGAATGCTGTCGGTCTGTTTGTGGAAAATTACAGGCACAAGATGGAATCCAGGGTCACATGAGCAAGTCACATGGCTTTATGACTCATAGGAACAGCTATTATGTATATTCTTGCTAAGGTGTCCACAGGAAGGCTCACTGCATGCGGAGGAGCTTCTATGGCCTATTGTGTTTTTTAATGGGCCATCAACTTGAATAGGTCATTCAAAATGTGCTG